CGAATCCAGTTCGACTCCTCCACGCCTCTACAGCAATTCGTCACTGATGAAATGGTGGAGGCGCCGAAAACGGCCTCCACCCGCCGCCTCCCGCGCATGGTGGGGCGGGCCGCCAACGACTCCGCCTCTCGTCCAGCCATTCGCAATGGAACGACGCGGAGAGCAGAAGCTGCTGTCGGGCGCGTTGGCCAGACGCACGCAGAGCCGGGCGCTTCCTCTCGTGTGCTCCCCGAAGGAAGAGAAAACAAAAACGCCCTTTTGTCCCCGCTCCCCTCATTTCTCCATGCTTCTCTTCGAACCCCTCAGGAGCACGCCCTCGTTTTTTTGTTGAATTTCGCTTTTCCTTTTTCTTGCTTTTCCCTCCATCCCTCCCTTCCCCTTCCCCTCCCTCTCTCTTCCTCTTCCTCCTCCTCCTACGTTTTGGTCTTGCACCGGCTTTGCCCTCGCTTTCCCCCCATACAAATTGTTCTCCCCCTCCCGCCGCCGGCTCCCGCTCTCACTTCTTCAGTCGTTCCCTGCAAACCCGAACGCCCCCGGAAGACTGCTGCCGCGGAAGCGTGGGACGGCGTAGGTCTTCTTCCAGGCGTTGTACGTCCCCAGCGCCCACACCGGCATCGTGTTTTTGTACCCCGGGTAGTGGATCGGGTTGTTGCCGTTAAACACGCCACTGATGCGCTCCTGCGCCCAGTCTCCGGTGATGAGCTGCCGCGCCATGAGGAGGTGGATGCCGCGCTCCACGGCGACCCTGACTTGCTCTCGCCGCTTCGGCGACGCACGGGCCGCCTCCCCTGCGGCCGACATGATCGCCATCACCGCCCAGGCGGTGTTCACGATCTGGCTGCCGCTTGGGTTGTCCACCCAGAGCGAGCGCATGCAGGCGGTGACGTCCTCGCCCCAGCCCCCGTCGGCGTTCTGGTGGGCGAGCAGGAAGTCAATGAGACGCACGCACGCAGGGTGGTTGGCCATATCAGCAATCTCGCGCGAGATGCAAAGCGCGCTGGCCACAAGCCACGCCGCGTAGGTGAAGCAAACCGCCCAGCTCCCGTAAAAGCCACCGTCCGGTCGCTGCAAGGAGAGGACGTACTGTACGCCTTCCCGGATGGCGGCGGTGACGTCCGCCCGCCGGTACCCCGGGTAGTGCTGACGAAAGAGCGCCAAGGTGTGGATGCAGCTGCTGCTGCACTCCGCGTAGCCGTAGTCTGTCATCACGTCCTTAAACACGTCGGCCGCATTGAAAAGCTCCACGTAGGCCGGTGCACGCATGGGCTCATAGGAAGACCAGCCAGACTTCTTGTTGCGCAGTGAAAGAATCTCGTCCACGGCGTCACGCATGCGGGTGACCGAAAATGGCCTGTGACGCAGCAAGAGAATCACACGTAGACCTTCTGCAGTGCAGTCCGACACTTGCCACGATTGTGCAGCGGTGCTAAAGTTCCATGCACCCTTCGTACGATGGCGGTAGAAGTGGGCCGCCGCCTCAGGGTCTCTCTGCACCTGCGCAATGTCCACATAGTGGTGGGCGAGGGACATCTCCTGCGGGTACAGCATCTCCATGCTACAGGCACATATGGCTTGCACGGCAAAGGAGGTATCCCACAGCTGGGAGCCATTGTAACCGCTCATGCGCATTCCCTCTGGCCCCATATACAAATAATCATCTACGCGAGTGAGATGATTCTGGTAGCGTCCACTGTCCTCGCCCTCTCGAATCCAAGTAACAAGCATATCCAATGACTTGTTTACAGGTCCAAGACATATAAAATGGGTGTCCTCATCATCATACGCAATGTGCGACCAGGCCAACTCCATCGCACGCCTGCGGAGAGCCTTGCTGTGCCACTTTTCATACAATTTAAACACCATCGCGGCAAGTTTGTATGTGGAGGAAAGTGGTGTGTAACAGTCCAACTTGCAGATATTACTCTGGTGCTGCTCCCACTGTATTTGATGATACGGCTCTGTGTACAACTCCTGGCGAAGACTTATCAAGAGCGGGTGCGGCTCAGGCATCCACCGCATGCCGTAAAGGTAGGAGAAGGGCACAGAGACGACGCGGCTGTGGCACCACAGGCGTCCCTGCGAACATGGAACCCAACGTGGCAGAAGCCAGAGCTCCGGGGGAATGGGGTTAATGCCATCCCAGCTGTAGAGACCCGCGATACACAGCCAGACCTTGCCCCAGGTTGGAATGGAAACCGCCCCACCGTGGCCGCGTATCCAGGCGCGAGCCCGCGTCGCATCGGCATCCTCGGCCGGCACACCCATCATGCGCAGCGCAACGTAGTTCAGCACCGTCCCCAGCATTGTACTATGCCCCTCTGTGTGCTGTCCAAAGCCGCCGTCCTTGTTCATGTAGTTGCGCAGGTACCGTATCAACTCCAGCCGCGCCGCCTCCCCGCAACGGCATGGCGTGTCATCCTTGTGCCGGTGGTCCTTGTACGGCGGAAACATCCTCTGCAGATCCCCAGCAGCGACCAGAAACTTCACAAAAATGAGACCGGGGGTTAAAAACAGTGGCCCGCTGTAGTCGTTCGGCCAGTGACCGGAGTACGGATCCTGCAGCTGGAGGAGAAACTCAACCCCGTCCCGCATGGCGTCTTCCGGCGACGCGCGTCGACGCACCTCCGTCGTCGTCTTGAGACCGAGTTGGTACTGCTCCACAAAGCGGCGTCGCTTTTCCTTGATCGCCCGCATGTCTGGCTCCTTCGTCGGCGACACGGCGTTTCCCGCCGCCCACTCATAGTGCTCCCCCACCATGGGAACATCCCTGGACGGGAGAAACGCCAAGCCCGCGGCCTGCGTCTTGCCGAGTGTGTTGCCCTCCTCCTCGTTTAGCAGCTCGCCGTAGCACCACCGCTGCCGACCGTCCTCGCAGCGCAGGTGCCAATGCTCAAGGGGAAACTCGCGCGACGCGGCAACCCGCACCGGACGCACGTGCGGCACACTTTCGCACGGCCACAGCTGCTGGTGCCGCAGGACGGCTCGCCTATTGTGCCGGTCCAGCAGCATCAGCAGCCCATGCAGCAGCAGCAAGACCGGGCCAGCAAGCAATAAAAAGAGAAATAGGCTCAACTTCTTTCCAAGCGCCCAGAGCAAGGACAGCACGTACTCACTGAAGCTTGCCGGAGGCCGGGGCACGACGCTCGTAAACGCAAAGGGCGAAGAAGAAGTCATGGACGGCGGGTCGCTCTTTCTATGGGGCGCATTGTCGCCGTTCTTGAGCGCCGTCATTACGCAGAGACCACAGCAGCAACGGCAACAGCTCTCAACTCCCTCTCCTCCCCAGCTAGATCTGACTTGCTAAAATAAATGAATAAATTCTCTATCCTTTTATTGTCGCTCATCCAATACATATATACATATAAATAACCAAAAAAAAAGGAAAAATAAAAAAAAATAAAAAGAAGAAAGTATTTACATCAAATTACGGTGTCAAGGCAAGTCCCAATGTGCACTGCTGTCTCTTCCCTTTCTTTTTCACTGTGGGTAACGAGTGCACGTGTGTGGAGTGAGCGCTACAGTGCACACACACGCTTGTACACAGAGGGTACCACGCGTGCAATACTTCTGCTCCTATTCTCCTCCGACAGTAACCGTGCCGTTGTTGTTGTTTTTTTTTCGTTTTCGTTTCACTTTCCGTGTGTGTTCGCACATTTTTCGTCTTTTTTTTCCTTCCC